ACAGAAATACATTACAGTTTAACAGATATTCACATAGAAAACAGCTGTTTTAAATTGTAATAATATTTCACTATTTTTGATGTGTTTTTGATCAAATAAATGCAGCCTTGCTGAGCAGAAGAGACTTCTTTCAAAAACATTAGTGTAAATGTAGTTCAGTTTCTGTAATTACATTGACATCAGTAACACTCTGACACAGCTCTTTATAGAGATCATAGAGATCATAACTCTCACATCCAACAGCTCAGAGAGCCACAGGCATCATTTATAGAGAACGAGGGTTGATAACATGCGTCACACGTCAACTGTGCAAATACAGCTAATGGAAAAATGACAGTATTTGCATCACAAAAAGCATAAGGCTTTCTCACTTTACTCTACAGTGCTCATCCAACAGTATTTAATGAGTAACATGTAACCCTGTGTTAAAGCCACGGTTCCCCTTGAGTTATAATATTGAATATATAATATGCATTAATAGTTAGCACTGCTTTAAAAACCTGGGTTATAAAGTCCTGTCCCTGTGTTGTTAGCGTAAAAAAAAAAAAAACTAAAACTAACCTTAAAGGAAAATTATAAATTAAATAAACATGAAAGTATTAATAATCACTGACTGAAATGCACTGACTGAAACTGAAATAAAACTATTTAAAACTTAAAAAAAAGCTAATAAAAATGACTAAAAATTAAATGTGAATGTGAAAATAATCAAGGTATTCAAAATATGAATAAAAACTATAATATTATATAGTGTCCTGCTCTGGCGGTACTAACTCTGAATTTTAATGGCAACAAAGATAAACAGTGTGAAATACTAATGTGCGAAATAAGAAACCGAAACACAAAACCCCAAACACAAAGCGTGACAATCCCAGCAGGCATTAGTCAAGCTAATTGAATGAATTATATTGCTGTAATGTAAAGCTTTAGCTCATAAGCTGCTCTAAATGTCTCCGAGCGTCTCTGCTGGATGCTGAAGCTTTATCAGATGCGTCTGTATTTATTTAGCTCTAGCTGCAGGTTAAATCTGACAAAAACACCTTTTGGAGACATCCGGAGATATACGCTCAATCAGAAAAACTGTTCTTAAATAAAATATTTTATTAAATATTAATCATTTTGGTGAAATATTAATGAAATAAATGTAATTTAATTGAATAAAAACACTTCACATCTTTACGTATAAAGCATTATGAAAGATTTATAAAGTGCCTTATCTTTTAATAATTGTAACCAAAGTTAAAATGCATTATAATATCTGAAAGTTTGGTTGTGATTTCTTTAATGCATTATACTTTCTGAAGGTGTAACAGTGTATTATAATGCATTATAACTTTGATTGCAATTATTCATGAGATCATACGATGCATTACAAGGCATATTTAATTTTTATTAAAGGCATTAAAATTATTTTTATAATGCATATATATAAAGGCTTTGAGTAAGTGTTACCAAAAATCTTTTAGGGTTTGGTTTAGTCTGTAGTCCTTATAATTAGGTTTATATAAAAATAACAGAATTTTTAATTTAATTTATGCATTTAGCAGACGCTTTTATCCAAAGCGACTTACAGTGCATTGAGGCTATACATTTTTTAAATTAAATTAAATTAAAATAAAATAAAGAAATGTCATGTAAAACCAAAGGACAAAATAAATATTTCAGATTCTGCACTTGTAGGTAAGATTTGTTGTTGTTGTTTTTTTACATTTTCATTTTGTTATGCTGATAATAAAACGTATTGTAATGAACAATTGTGTATTAAATTATAAAATAATGCGACATATTGCATTTTCGTAGTCATCTCAGATTTTGGGGTTATTCTAAATATAAATAGGCTATAAACACGAATATAAATATGCATATGAATAATTAAAAGCCATTGTTTTTTTTGCCACATTACTGGTGTAAAAACCTTGAAGTGTCGCAACTAAAACGGGAACTAAAACATATAAACATTATAGGTTATTCTAAATGAAATGCTGAACAATTTACATAAACTACAAAAGACCCTCATTTAGAGACTATATATGTACAAAAGACTAAAGACACATAGTTCAGATTCTGCACTATTTTCTTGGAATTCTTTCAGTTTGTTGAACTGATAATACAAGTGTAAAGAACAATTGCGTATTAAACTAGAAAATAATGCAAAAGAGAAGCATCTCACATCTAAATATAAATAATTTAAATATAAATATCGATATAAATGGATTCTAGAAAACATTAAATAATCGTGCGCACTGATTTGATGATTTGATAACGGCATTGACCAATTATATCCAGGCGCTCAGAACTTTGACCAATGAGCTTAACGCTGCCTTGATGGAAGGTTCACGCCTGCGCTGTTGCATTATGGGTATTGTAGTCTTCCGGCTGCACGAGTTCAGTGCTGTTCCGAAGAACGAGCGACAATTAAAAACTACAATTTACTCTGACGCGGCCACGTGGTTTGACGCGCGGTTGCATCAGCGTAAATACTCGGTTCACAGACTGGTTCAGTCGTTTCCAGCGGCGTCTGTCTGACCTGTCAAAGTAGATTCATTCAGGAGCGTCCTAAACTGACAAGAGGGTCAAATGAAACTGTATATCGCCGACGGAAACCCGCACTGTATTAAAGTGCTGGCGGCGCTGGAACTCACTGGAGGGAAATGTGACACAGAAGTGGTCAGCCACGAGGGTGAGAGACATTATCAGACTCTGAGGCGAACTTTCTGTTGATGTTCTGCTGTTTGTCAGTGCTTATCATCCAGATATCGAGTCTGTTAGTTTCAGTCTGACTGATAATAGCATGTTCTTGATAGTAATGCAGCTGTCTATGAATATAGTAAACAAAAAAGTACCATAGTATATACACCCTGTTTATGTTATTACTGTGGTACATTCTAGTAGTTTTGTATCGAGTCTGTTAGTTTCAGTCTGACTGATAACAGCATGTTTTTGATAGTAATGCAGCTGTCTATTAATATAGTAAACAAAAAAGTACCATAGTTTATAACATCATAGTACTATATACCATATTTGTATAGTGTGTATTAAAGCACCCTGTTATTACTGCGGTACGTTCCAGTAGTTTTGTATGGGTGTATTTGCTCAGTGTGTTTTTGTGCTTTTACATGTGTTTCTTTGTGTTTTCGTCGAACAGAGAAAGTGGTCCCTCACTTCACTCACCCTGTGTCACCCGCTCTGCTGTTACCCGACGGCCAGCATCTCTTCAGCCCCAACAGCATCTGCCAGTGAGTGCCCGACCACACATTACATTATAGTCATTACACTCTGATGAAGACATTTTTATTGGGAAGTAAATGTCTGTAATATATATATATATATATATATTTTTTAAATTAAAAAAATAATGATTTTTGGCATAAAAGAAAAATCAATAATTTTGACCCATACAATGTATTGTTGGCTATTGCTACAAATATACCCCAGCGACTTAAGACTGCTTTTGTGCTCCAGGGTCACACACACACACACATACTGTATATATATATATATATATACACATATATATATAATGAATAATGACCTTATATATAAGCATACAATTTAAAAATGTAATTAATTAAAAATCTGTTTGCTATGTAGGTCAGATTTTCAATATTCAACACAATAAATTGCACTGTATTATCTACATGAAAAACTAATTTATTAAATAAGTAAATATGTTCAGAAGAGTAACAGAGGGTTGACCGATATAATGTTCACCCAGTATTACTAGTCTGAGGTCATGATATACATGCAAACGTGCTCTTTTAATTAATCAGTTATTTCACAAAATCATAGAGTTTTACAAAGTTTTACAGGCGAGACAGACTAGAAGAGTGAGGCGAGACAGACAAGAAGAGTGAGGCGAGACAGACAAGAAGAGTGAGGCGAGACAGACAAGAAGAGTGAGGCGAGACAGACAAGAAGAGTGAGGCGAGACAGACAAGAAGAGTGAGGCGAGACTGACAAGAAGAGTGAGGCGAGACTGACAAGAAGAGTGAGGCGAGACAGACAAGAAGAGTGAGGCGAGACTGACAAGAAGAGTGAGGTGAGACAGACAAGAAGAGTGAGGTGAGACAGACAAGAAGAGTGAGGTGAGACAGACAAGAAGAGTGAGGTGAGACAGACAAGAAGAGTGAGGTGACACAGACAAGAAGAGTGAGGCGAGACAGACAAGAAGAGAGAGGTGAGACAGACAAGAAGAGTGAGGTGACACAGACAAGAAGAGTGAGGCGAGACAACCACACACACATACATATATACTGTATATATACATACACATTTATAAATTCAATATATATATTATTTCATTTTCATTTAGTTTGTTGAAGTATTAAAATAACTCAAATTAAATAAAACTAAAACTTAATAAAAGACCTATACAGACATAATAAATTCAGACATAATTTAACTAAAATTTTAATAAATAACAAATATAAATAATACAAATCAAACGACAGTAGTTTATCAGTAATCCTAAAAAATAACACTGCCAAACACACATGCTTAAAAACAACAACTTACTTACACATAGTAAGAAATGGTTATTAAAACTGAAACAGAAGTGAAACAAGTAATAGGAAAGAGGAGAAATCATCATCAAACATTATGTAGCGATACTTAAGCGATACTTAAAAATTATATACAGTGCATAACAGTAAAAAGAACTGTTGGAAGAGACCATCATCAAATCATTTTAATGCACAAACCAGTGCATCTGTCACAGTCTCATTCTGACAAACACAACCAGACAAATTAATTTACTTGTCCTTGGTTTTTGATTTTTGAATTAGAATTTTGAATTTTTGGCGTATGATGTTGTGTGTTATTTTAAAAGAGTGTTATTGTTATATCAACAGGCTTTGACCTAAAGCCTATCGAATGTCAAACAAATTTCACAAAGACACAATGATATATTTGCATGTTGTTTCCACAGATACCTGTTCGACATCAGCGGTCAAAAGGCGACTGACGCAACTAACCAGTGGCTAGAATGGGAAGCAACCAATTTACAGGTGACTATCGCAAAGATTGATGATGAATATGACAACACAGATTATTATTATAATTAGGTAACTGCAACAGATTACCTATACAGCACAATGTGTTGCATGCAAAATACATTTTTACAGTAACTGCATCAGATAAAATAGTTTAGGCTCAGATTCATTTATCACTTGTGGACATCCTGTGACGGATTAACAAACAGAACAACATTCTGATGAAAAACATTGCCATCAGAACAACCCATCGCTTCAGGTTTAGGTCCAGGACCAAGATGTGACCAACATGTCTTCACTCAAAAAAAAAAAGAATAGCTCTAAATATTATGCATGTGATTTATGCATTTTAATTGCATATAAAATTTCCATGCATTTTGATTTAACGGTTTAAACATAAACAAATTAATAAACTCAATGTGATGCATGTTTGTCCGATTTCTGTATTCAGGAGACCATGCCATAATTTATTATTAACTATTTGCGTTTTAAATAATACTTTCAAAATGCTTTCATTCAGATTGACTCAAACAGCATAAGTCAGTTCATTGTGAAAAGTTAAATGAATTCATTTAAAAAATATAAAGATGATTAAAATATGATCAAGCAATATTCAAATCAATAAATCTATGAATTTAAATATTCATATTAAATATATACTATGTTAATATATATGTATATAATGTATGTGTGTGTGTATAAATTATTCAGATATTATATATATTCATATTTAAATATTTGTTAAATCTGTATTTATATTTAAATAATCATATTTTCAAAATGCATTTAATCAAATAGCTTAGAATCAACATAAGTCTGTTTATCATGAAAACAGTTACATTTATTCAGTTAAAAAGTATGAAGATGGAACATGCAATATATATATCTATATATATATATATATATATGGTTATTGTGTATATTAAAACACATTTAGTTTATTAGTACTACTACAGAAATCTGACCTGTTTTATTGATTTTGACTGACAAAATATACATCACGTTATGTTTATTTGTTTATTTGTTAAAACTGTGTAATCCAAATGAATGGGAGTTTTACATGCAATTCCAATACATAAATCTTGAATGTAAGTATTTGTTTGAGTGTTGCTGTAGAAAGACATTGATTTATAATGTGTGTGTGTGTGTGTGTGTGTGTGTTCAGCCGGCAGTGCTGCAGTCTCTCCACATGGTGGCGCTGCAGGGGAAACATGTCGAAGCGGCCGCTGTGATGAAGGAGCCACTGAACTGGCTGGAACAGAGTCTGAGCAAGAATAACACACCGTTCCTTACTGCAGTGAGTCCAGTTCATCATAAACACACACATCTGTGTCTCAGCGGCCTGAGACTGAGCTTCCTACAGCACTCAGAATACATACAATAAACTCATGAGAACGTATAAGGCGTAACAGTATGACAATGCATACAGTCAGCTGATTGTCATCACAAAATACAGCCTTTAAGGTGTCATCGGATGCACTTTTGTTGTTGTTTGAACATAAATGTGTGTTGGAAGTGTGTGTACACATCCACCCTATAATGATAAAAATCCACCCAGTGGTTTTTTAAAAATCCCTATTTTAAAATCCCCTTTCTCAAATCAGGCTGTTCTGAGATTCCTTTTCAGAATAACACAGATCCCCGATCTGCCTAAATGCGTTTAAGTTCGCGCGAATCATTCATGATCCAGCTTCATCTACAGAAGAAGTGAGTATAAGGGTTTTTAATGAATCTTTGCAAATCGCCTTTCCTAATAACGTGCTAATTAGCCAGTTTCGCGGCTGAAGTTTACAGTCTGCTCATCACCCCACAGAAGAGAGGGGTGGAGTCAGCAGAGCTCATTAGCATTTAAAGCAACATGGACTAAAACAGCGTGCATTGAAAAAAGTTGCAATTACCTTGTTTTATTTTTTATTCACTGGTGGGCTTTCATAGTTTACTGTGACACAGTGACAAAAACCCTAATAACTAGACCTGTCACGATAACAACTTTTTGTTGTGCGATTTATTGCCCCAGCAATAACTGCGATAAGCGATATTATTGTCATTTTAAAGACCATTTTATGCCACTGAATATATAATCATAATGTAACAGCATAATAATGCAAGAAGGCCTACACACTTCCAAATGACAACAAACTTTTAATTTTTAAGAATATTTAGATCATGGAAATTAAGTATCAAAATATTAGATACCTGAAAAAATAGTAAATAAACATTTTCTAACAAAAAGTGCAAAGAAACAAGTAAAAAAAAAGAAAGAAAAATGCACAAAGAACTTGTATGGAGATTTTTCCATCTACAGATTTGTCCCTGACCTTCTTTTCTCTGTAAATTAAGGGTGCACACTATTGCTGAAAAACACAATCACTACTGAAATAACTCAAATTAAATAAAAGTAAATAATAAAAAGCCTATATAGACATAATAAAAAACTAATAAAATGACAACATTATTACAACTGTAACTAAAACTAAAATAGATAACTAATACAAATCAAACTACATTAGTTCATCAGTAATCCTAAAAAAATAACACTGAGCCAAACACACATGCTAAAATAACAACAACTTACTGACACATAGTAAGAAATGGTTATAAAAAACTGAAACAGAAGTGAAACAAGTAATAGGAAAGAGGAGACATAAAAAGCGATACTTATCCTACACTAAAACACTACTAAAACATACTAAAATACATTTTGTTTATTTCCCCCAAATATGAGGGTTATGTGTTCCCTTTTGTCACTGAAATACTCATTCTATAGGTGAAAATAGTGTTTGAACTCCATGATGCCCCGGCCATCCACAGGGCCCCCACCAGACATCAAGAGACACGCTGTGCCACCATTGCTGCTTGAAACAGTGACTGTTTCGGTAGTGACAATTTTAGATACTTTTGAACCTAGCTCAAAGAT